CACAGAAATTTCCACACCATTATGTTTCCCGACCTTGGTACACCATCATTAATAACAAAAAAAGAGAAAAAACATAAGTTAGAAGGAAAAAAAGGACAGCAACTTTGACCTGACTAAGGGACGGCACTCTAAATATAAAGCTCATACATGTAAAATTTCCTTAACCGTACAATTTTTAAAATTGTTATTTTGCGCTAGGCAATGCTAAATTTGCAGTGCCTCGTATTTAAGTTAGGGTTAGAACGAAGTTCTTGACTCCGGGAGATTGGTCAAGTTCAGTTTACTTTTGTTTTCGGGATAGTGTATCGTTAGTTTTGTTGCCTGTTCGGAATTCATTTAAGCAGGACCTTTGAACGTTTTTATTTCATTCTATTCTCTGTGATCGGCCATCGTGAATAACCCGCCAAATTTTTAATGTAGTCAGAAATGCCGTATATAATAGAGGGTCGGTCCAATTTGTCTTCCTCATCATCATGTCACATCTTTGCCGCCTTCTGTTTATTTCGGGTTTACCCGAAGTAGCCGGCCGTCATCAATTGCCTAGAGAACTTCTTCAAGAAGACCACTCGCAAAGATTCCCAGCCCCAAGGGAGCCCATTCTGCTCAGTTGCCCGGTCCCATGCTCGTTGGCTGGATTCACGTGTTTATTATTGCCTCATCGCCGAGCAGACTGCGCTCCGGAACATCTCTCAGTCATAAAACTGTCTAGCTCCTAATGAAGCGACCATTATGCATTCGGGGTAGCGTTTCATAAAAGATGGTGCATGAGCCCAATGTGCTGCCCGCATAAATAACGCCGCAAACTGCGCGCCCGTCATCATTTCTTTTTATTTCTTTCGGTCTCTCCCTCCGCATCGTTCTCGAATGAACGACGCAAAACACACACACTAGACAGTGTGGGATGAACAAAGCGCCGGAAACACTAATCGCGCTGGCCGACAATAAGTCATTTAACAAAAGCAGCGTCATCAATGCGGGCGAGGCAAGCAGGTCAACAGACGATCCATGATATGCAACGATCGTCCTAACGACACAAAACCACGAAAGGCTGGAGACGGTCACGAGACTGGTTATCCGAAAGGTCTCCAGAGAGAGAGAGAAAAAGAGAGAAGAAAAAAAGTAGAGGAGGTCCCAACTAACTATTATCGCATCCTCAACTCCCATACCTCCCCCCCCCCCCCCCTCCCCCCAATCCACGCGAGTCGCGACGTGCTTGAGGGAGCTCTGTTACAAACGATCATCCTTAGAGGCGATCAAACATCGCCGAGCTTGCATTCACCTCCTTTATTCCGAGGAGCAGGACGGCGAGGCTCTGCACTGGACGTGAGCTACCTCCAATTCCAAGTACTCCGAACAGGTCCCCCCCCACGGTATCCCGTACTCTCGGCAAACAGCGACTATATAACGACGTCAATGAAACAACTTGCAAAGCGGGCAGACTCGATAGTGGGCGGGTCAGTGACAAAATTGGTATACGGAGTCGGCACCCCGAGGCCTGCCACCCTTCCCGACTTCTCTCGGAAGGGATCAATGAAAGACGGCCTATTAATCTGAAGCCATAAAGAGAAGAGGTTCTCCCGGAAACTCCCCGCAATTACGTCGTGCCCGTTCCTGTGAGAACCAAACCGGTGGAATCGGGTGGGGGGAAACCTGGCGCGGGCTTCCCAGCTTCAAAAGGCCCGCGGCGATAACCCCTCACTGCACTAGTCGCCTTTGTCGTCATGACGCCCAATCAGCGCCCTTCATTACAATCTCGACACTGTCTGCCCGTCCGTCCGCCAGCACGAAGCTAATACGGTGGCGGCGGCGCGTTCGACCTCGCCGATGCACGTCGTCAACCGAGTTTCTCGTGGGAGCCGCGTCGAGTTGCAGCATGCAGCGGCAGATGCCTATCGTGCTGAGGGGACAACCGTTCTTTCTTGGCAGTTGACCGGAGCGGGCGCTTGAAATGCATAAAATGTCGTCTCGGGTTTTTTTTGTTTTGTTTTTGTGCGTATTTTCGTTTTCCGCCAACGCTGTCCCAGATGTTAAGCGTTCACTTATCAGTCCTATAGAGTGGTGAGGCCCGAGAAGGTTTCCTCTCCAAGCAGCGAGCAAGGTCACTCGTTTCTTCGTCGTAAGTGAGTTGTATTCGGCGACGGCGGGATCCACGTACACTGCGCCGCCTAAAAGGCTCGAGCGACAAGAAAAGGAAGACCCTTTGGCAGAAATAAACAAAACAGCGAAGTTGTTCGGTCGGCTTTAAAAACATTATCTTTTTTTTTTCTTTTTTTTTAGCACGCTTCAACTTTGCTTTGCGGATAATGTTTTGGCTACGATTGGCCTTATTGTAACCGGGATCAGCCAAAATTCCTTGAGGCCAGTTTTTTGCAAAATAATTTATGGCAGCAATCCATATGCAGCTCCATAAACAAACAAAACCACCGCTGCTTTTTTTTTCCTTCCTTTCTTGTAATAAAAAAAAACACTTGTAAATTGTTAGCTATTTATAGTCAGTGATCAATCCCCACACCTGCCCGTTTCGATCTGGATGAGCATCGCACCGGCGTGCGGTCGTGTTATACTACTACGTGGTGCGCGTTAAAGACCCCTGGTTAGCGTTCGTACTGCACTGGCTAAATTTCTCATCTACAGCTGTGACACCAGACGCCCACTGGGGCTGACTAACTTCCGGCTTTATAAACATACACACCACATTATTATTATAATTACTATTATTATTATTATTATAGTCCCTGATTGCTTATGAAACGCAGAGCGTGGCAAGTCCCCAGCGTTGACTATCTCTTCGGAGCCAATCAAAATACGGCATTCGCTGACAAGAACGCCGAAGGACCAATCAGGAGGCGAGAAGTAGCCGCGCCTTGCGTTTCGTAAAAAAACGCAATTTCTTGAAACCGAAACCGAAACCGAAACTGGACTGGGCAGGAAGAGGCAATATAAAGGAGAGCGTCGCCAAAAATCACGTGGCTGTGCAACTTGCTTTCTTTTTTTTTTTTCAATCAACGTATTTTTAGTTTTTTTAGAAGCCACAAAAAAGAAATGGGTATCGTTTCTATTTTTTATATTCTTAACATTGAATGTGAGCCTCCAATGACTTTGATTACATTTGGTGGTTGAGTCAAAACCATAGAAAACGGCACGTGATCACGGAGAAGAGAGTGAGCGCGACTCAAACCGGCCAGTTCTCGATCGGCGGTTTTTGGGCGGAAATAAAACGAATTTCGAGCCGAAAATGGTGTTCTGGGTTGTATGATTCTCATGTGTCATGTACAAATAAAAACCTTGGCGAGCATCAATACCCTGTCGGTGTCCCTTTAAGCAAACGAACAACTTCAAAGTAACCAAGAACATACTTTGCGCGTAAGCTGGCAATAATGTCCTTTCCCGCCTTGTCGTCCAATGAAATATGAAAAGAAAGAGCACGACGTAAAATCATGCCCACTACCGTAACGTAACGCAGCTAGGAGAGCACGTGAGGTGAAAGTTGGTGCTGCAGAACCCAGGGACCCCGGATTCAATCCCCATCCGTCCCCGTTTCAATCAGGATGAGCATCGCACCGGCGTGCACTCGTATAATCACTACTCCGTGATGCATGTTAAAGACCCCAGGTTAGCGATTGTACTGCACTGGCGAAGTTTCTCTCCTGCCGTGTAAATGAGTGTTGCCATACCTCAAAAACAGACCTTCTCTTTTCCTATTTTTTTTTTTTTTTTTTGCGTTTGTGCACGGGTTTATAATGGCTGCCTTTACGACGATGACGCTTTTGCGAAACGACGCATATCGGGAGGGGTTGAATGCGGGAACGAAAGTACCGAATTTAAGGAGCAACCACGACACGACGGAAGGAGCGGAAGGAGAGACCGAGGAGGACGACACGTGCTGCCCTCTCGTGGGCGCTGCGGCAAGCTCAAAATCAAAATCGCGCGCTTTTATCGGCAGCGCTGGAAGAGGTTCATTGGGAGGCCTTGTGCACGGGGGCAGTGCTATCCGGAGCACAATGACTGATATCATTTGGCGATTTGCACTGAACTCACCTTTGCACCGGCAGCAACGAATTTTTATCGGCTGTCGTTAATGCATGAATTACACGACGAAGACTACGCAGCTCATTTTAGATCTATCAAATTTTAGGAGTCGAAAAGTTTCAGCCGGCAGAAAGAATGGGACAGGTGAGGGTGGGGGCAAAGGCAACCATTACGTTTAAGGATAACTTTTGTTAGAATATCGGAACAAGTGAAGATTACACTCGCGTAGGTGTCTCTGATCGGTCCTCAATGTGCGTGACCTTACGGGCGCGAATAGCTTTAGTTTGACCGCCAAAGAAAGTTTCTTCAAGCCCTAGTTGTAAGGGAAAAAGACAGGTTCCACTCGATTTTACGTAAAAGGAACAGTGGTCGTCAAAAACATGCCTGTCACACGAATTTCGCAAAAAGTCGGTCGGATTTTTTTACCAAGGGTGGGGGAAGCCTCAGTATTTGTTTTCGATGCATTTTGAACAGTTTCCGCATTCAGTGGACTCTGGTGCTCTGAATGAAGCTCCGCCGTCGCCCGGTGCAGCTTCCTCACGGTCGTCGTCGTTCTCAGTTTTTATTTTTATTTTTAATGTGTATGTCGATGTTTCGTGGCGGTTTTCCCGGGTGTGTTTCGTGTAGGGTGGTCGTGGCACGTGACGTCACAGTGTCAGTGACGTCACAGTTTCACGTGACGTTGCAGTGTCGCGCGGCGACTGCGTCGGGCGTACTAGAATGGGGAGGTGTTCCCTCTGGCGGCCGTGAGTGTGTCGCGATGTGCGAGCACGCCGTTGAGGGCGGTGTGGAGCAGATCGCGGTCATCCGACGGCTGACAGAGGCCTGGCAGTCGCAACAGAGTGTTCGGAGATGAAAAACCCCTACCCTCCCCGGTGCCTTCTGGAGTGCCTCAAGGTAGTGTGTTGGGCCCAACATTATTCCTGATCTACATTGACGATATTGCAAAACTCTTAAATTCCACACCAATCATGTATGCCGATGACCTGTCCCTTCTTCAGCCAATCTGCTCTGACAGCTCCTACCAAGCCCTTCAGGACGACCTCGACCAGTGCTTTCACCGATCGGCCGAAAACAAATTACCTTTTAACTACTCTAAAAGTGTTGCCATGACATTCGCTATCTCTTTCAAAACTTCAAAAACTACAAGCCAAGTCTCAAACTTAACCCTGGGTGGCTCACTACTAAAGCATGTGCCTTCCACAACCCTCCTTGTTGTCGTCCTGGACAGCCGCCTCAACTTAGCCCCCCAGGTCCACAGCGCCACATCGAAAGCAAGACGCATGCTGGGCTTTGTCACTCGAGTCGCACGAGGGATGACACCTAACACCTTCCGCCATCTTTACACTGCGCTGGTGCTGCCCCACCTAGAGTATTGCTCTGCGGTGTGGTACACCCAGCAAACATATCTCCACACCACACTACAAGGCGTGCAACGGCGTGCAGCCTACACATACTATCGCCGCAGTGTTTCCCCGCCGTCAGTCCCACTCCCCTACAGAGAAGTACCCTCTAGTGACCTCCGAAAGACTGCTGCCTGGAGGAGCCTGCACCAGCGACAGCAAGTAGCATCTGTCCGGCTGTCCTGCCGGATCATGGGACCAAACCAACAGGAACTTTATGATGCCCCCAGAGTGAACAGAAGAACAGGTAGACTCCAGCCCGTGATGTCCCGAACATTACGGCATGGGGAGTCCTGCCTGCTGAGGGCAGCTAAGCTTTGGAGGGGGCTGCCCCCAAACCTCACCGAACACATTCCCTTTGATCCCCAAGAGGCGAAACAAGTAGCTCAGCCGCTCTTCCGTGACCCCTTCTAACTTAATTACCTAGTTCTTTTATTTATTTATTTCACCATTCTGTACAACCTATACATGTTGTAAGAGTGCACAAATCGGTGTCGTAAGCTCACTAGTTCTTTTTTTTTTTATCATTCTGTACAAATGTATATATACTGTAAGAGTGCATAGGTTGGTGTTGTGGGCACACTAGTGCATGGGCGTGAGCCTTGCCCCAACACCAGCACGCCTGTACATTTCTACCTGTCAAGTGCAATAAATAATATCAATATCAATATCGATACTTTATTCGGCGTGAAAATGGTCGCATTCTTCGTTTGTTTTTGTCTGCTTGGTTGTGAGACCGAATAAGTTCCATCCCACATCCCTGTGAAAAAGCGTGACTTGCGCGAGCGGCTTATATTGAAGCGCAAATGCCCTTTAGGAGCGGTTAGTTACTTACATAATCTCGCTTCCTTAATCTTATTTTTTTTCTGCATCATTTTTTTTAGAAAGAAATTAAATTGCGTGACTCAGTACATTTTTTTCTTGGTATCAGACGATCCCATGCCACGAACAGGGAGGCGTCGCTCGGCGCCCGAAACAAGCAGTGTTTCTCTTTGCATGCGTTGTAACCCACGTTGCCACCCCGGCACAAAACACTACCGCACCGCCTTTTTCTTCGCGGTGTTTGACATCGTTGTGAGACCCTTGCCACTTAGGCACAGCTAGCAATCACACGATATTGTATCGCTTCAGACCAGTTCTGGTGCACCCTCAAGGGCGATTCCCACACTTGCGTCGAGTTCGACCGAGTGCGAGGGTTGCCATGGCAACAGCTGCTTCGGCTTCAACAAAACTGGGTACGACGCCGCTGTTCCCATAGCAACCCTCGCACTCGGTCGAACTCGACGCAAGTGTGGGAATCGTCTTTAACTCTGTGACGCTTGGCGGTGAAATGTTCCCGCTCAATGTAGCGCAGAAATTTACTTGTCTAAATTTAGCGTGACAATTTAACCGTTTTATTTAGCAGAAAATTTCCCCCTTCACTTTATTGGAAAAATGCTTCGTGCATTTTTGCCCAATTATGCTAAATAATTTAGGGCGAAATTTATCCGCCGACTTTATCAGGAACTGTGCAGTGATTATAATTTATGTTCTGTGTGCGTCAGGGTGTAAATCATATTGTTCTGACACGGCAAAGAACCGCCAGTTTCTTTTTATTTATTTTTTTATGTTCCCTTATTTTAGTGTGGAAAGTAATGCACAACTATGTCTGTAAATGTTTAATTTGCAAGTCATGATTTTTTGAGGTAACTCGCCGATACTAAGGTCCCTTGATACTTCTTTTTACAAGTAACAACAACCAACGCAAATGACGGATCACCTTCCGCTGGAACAAAATAACGTCATTCAGTTCAGTCCTCTGCTGTGCGCCGCCCATTCGCTTCCCAAAAAACCTGCACCGTCACGCAGTCGGCGCCTCAGTTAATGTCGCTACTTGGATCGAGCTCTTATCTAGGAACTTTAACGGATACAACTGAGGCTCCTGAACTCCGCTTAGCCGAAATCCTTCTTTCGCAAAAGGGCGCATGCTTTACACGCCGTGGGACACAAGTCTGCTCTATGCCATTAGCCAGTTTTAGAATAGGGAATCCAAACGGTTAGGGGGCCCCTAAGAAATAGGGGCTCACCAATGCGCATGGGCCGAACCCAAGCCATGTCTTGGGTTTGCGTTCACCCCTAAATCAGAATTCGCGAGACCCGGACCCCAAGGCATACAACACGGCGGCGCTCGCTTCAGAACAGAACTATAATGGTCGCCGCACTCTAAGGCGCGTTCATCGGCAATGAATGGTGAAGTAGTCTTTCGCTCTGCCTTACCTTATTTTAATTATAAAATATGAGCAATCATTCCGCCCTGATTTCCAGATCGTATTCTGGTTCTGGTCGTTCTTACGCCTGAATGGACGCGGCAACTCTTGACGTGACAGTGCCTCGCGAATCCTAGTGGCTTGTCGTTGCCTCGATCTTGCACAAGAACGAAGACACAGAAATGCGCACACAGGGCACCCATAAGCGCTGATTCGCAACCGGCTAAAAATAGAGTCACTAGCTCAAAAGCTCAAAGTAAAAAAAACAAAAACGTGACTTAAACCACAAAAAAAAAAAAAAACAAAAAAAAACATGCGTGACTTTTTGGGTTTTGGATTGCGGGTGTAATGTACTAGATCCTATTGACATCTGGCAGAAGCTGCGTGGGACAGTCTGGACAGTGTGTTAATTATCGTCTTCGAAAACATCACTGCTCTTTAACAAGGCAGCGGGGCTCATCTTGTTATGCACTACAGACGAAAGTTAAACGAAATCGCGAAACATCGAACAAGGAGCGAGATACAAGGGCGAGGTAGAAAGGGCTTTTGTGAAAAGGAAAACGACTAAAGCGCATATAGGCATATGTACGTTTGAATCATGCAGTGGTTTAGATCGTCTTGACGTGGTCTTGACTTCAAACATTTCAACATTTAATGACTTGTAAAAAAATATGCATTTGTTTTTACCTTACTCACTATTCGCAACACAAAGTGTTCGTTAAGCGCAAATATTTTACGTTCTTCTTTTCTATTTTTCATTATTCATGTCGATTGATAGTTGCATCGACGCTGCCAGCGAGAAACGCAAGCATACGTTGGGGCTCTCTATGCTAAAACTCCACATTTTCAACATTCGCGAGTGCGGCGCTTGCATTACTCGCTTTGCAAAGCGAAAGCACTCGCACGCTAAGCTCTCAAGATCGCGTATAGCTCTCAAGATCGCACCTTTGGCGGATGTCCGCGTCATGCGGCTTTAATGAAGTTTAAAGAGCTTTAGGAATGTTTCACAATACATCTCAGATCATTAAAAAAAACTGTGTGTCCTTTATGGTGCGTCACGGCCGGACTATGCGATAAAAGGCTAGCTCCGGACATTAACCACCGCAAACAAACCAAAGCAACGAAAAATCCTGCATTTCCTATTCAAACTAGGTTCAAACCAAATGCTAATCTTAGTCATATTGTCTTTTCTCCCTCTCTCTCTCTTTTTCTTTTCCTTTCTGTCGAGCTCGGCTTTTTGTAAACCGTTTTGCTTTTCTTGCATATCAAGCAAATTACGGTCAGCCGACTCGTCGACTCTTGCATTTCGGGCAAACACACGCGCGCGAGAGAAAACGAAATAATAAATAAATAAAAATACACGGACAAACTATGCAATGAAGAAGTTCAGGGAAGAAAAAAGTCAGTCGAGCGATAAGCTCAGCAATGTCGGCGACGTCTTCCCAGTCCCTGCTTGAAACAAAAGAAGAGTGCGCCCAGATATCACCCGCACACAGTCATTGTAAAAGCTCGGCCGAGGGGAGTTCAATCAATCCTATCGCGTTCCGTCCTAACCTCAGCGACACGGGCAGCCAGAATGGAAGACAAGGAGTTTTTTTCTTTTTCTTTCTCATTCCTTCTGTGTTAAAATGGAAGAAAACTAAACTACTACATCCAGAAGGGAAAGGAAAAAAAAAAGCGCCGGGTTTTATTCGAAATGAATATGCGCTATTTTTGCCGTCCTGCCCTTTCCTTTGTAACCCCTTCCTGTCTCTCTTCCCGCTCCTCCTCTTTTCAAACTCGAAATCATTTATATTCGAGAAACATTTCGACGCTTTGAATTCGCTGGCTTCATTCCGCGAATCCGTAACTCGTCTCCGGCGCAGAGTTCGTCTTTCCGAGGCATTGTGGGCACCACGGGCCGAGAGGGAGAGAGAGCGCGCGAGCGTCATCGCAGTCCAGGCCGCACAAAAGAAATCCGGATTCCCGCCTTTTGTTTCCAAACCTCCGCGTACAAAGCCGCGAGTCTTGAGCGCGCCTAGAAAAGACAAAAAAAAAAAAATCATTAAAAAACAAAAACGGAAGTATACACGCATGTGTGTATATCTGCGCCCAAAACGCAAAGAGCCGTAGGGAGAAAGAAAGCCGAGTTAAAAAGGACTCGAACGTCGCGTCGTATTCAAATTTCGGTTTCCGTCATGAAAAGGAAAGAGTCGGATCTCCTTATAACAACGCCTGAACGAAGAAACTTTTTCGCGAAAATTTTTGCCTCCCGCCCTCCGACGGCTCATTCTGCTTTTTTTTTCTTTTTTTTTTTTTTTTTTCTCGGAGTCGTTGTTGTCCCTTCTACTCGCTAATTTCCTCCTTTCTTATTCATCTCACGTGTACCCATTTCCTGGCTTCCTGTTCCATCGTCCCTCATCACTCCTCGCTTTCTTTGCTCGACAGAGCGGTTCTCTCTCCTCCTGCCCTCTCCCTCTCGTGCTATCTGCCTCTCTCGCCCTCCCGCTTTCTATCTTTATTTCAGGATATTTGCAGTCGTGAAAACAGCCAATGTTAGATTGTCGTTAGGGAATTATACCCTCGCATTCGCACTTAATGGTGCTGCGCGCAATTTATCAAAAAATGTTCCTTGTTGGGTTACGTCTTTTGTCGCTGGTTCTCTTTCTTCCGCTTTCTTTCGTTTTCTTTCTCCCGCTAACCTAAACGCAGTCGTTGGCGACACCCAGAAAAGAGAGTTAGAAGAGGCAGAGAGAGAGAGAGAGAAGGACACCGAATTAGAAAGGAAAAAAAATCACATATATATACATATATATGGGCGACGAAAATGAAAAAGTACGCACGTTCAAAAAGAGGAGGGGGCACAATGAAACCACCTCCCGAGATTGAGAACAATGACTGAGATTTCAGAGACGTTCACTCGCGGCTAACAAAACAAATTGTGTTTCTTCCCCTAGTTCGGATAGAGAGCAAGCTTTGAAGAATACTGCTACAAACGTGCCGTCGCACCCCCTCCCCCCCCCCCCCCCCCCCACACACACACATACACAGACACGCACAAAAAAAAAACGGTAGAAAACAAAGCGGCGACTCTTGACGGAGTTACCGTCGCGTTGGGTACGCAAACAAAAGCGATGCGGCGTTTGCGCTCACAACGACACGGGAAAGCACGACTCGTCGTCGACAACG